ATTTAGAGAAATGACTCAGAGATGAAAGTAGTATCTTTTAATGGGTATATAGAAATTAGCCCAAGTGATGAGTTCATCTCATTTGGATTATTTATTGAAGAATTTACTCATATAGCACTAAAACATAATGACTTTCCCTAAATAGCACCACATGTGTTTTTCTTCCCAATGTAGCACTTTTAGTCATTATGCATTAGTCATTATTCAAGTAAATATTCACCATCACAGGACATTATGGACATTATTAAGTGTTATTTGGGAAATAAAACAATTTAAGTGCTATTTAGAGAAATGACTTAAGTTTTAGTGCTATTTAGTGCAAATATTTCTTGTTTATTTCATATAAGGCCCAAACCACCAACGCCCATATCTACTTTAGAAAATTGTTACAAGTACTCAGTAATTTGAAGTCTTCAAAAAAATTTGCTGTGAAATAATTCTCGAATATAATGAATCATAAATATAATATTTTTCTAAAGTGGATTATATATATTTACTCCGGTATATGTGAACCCATCATATTATAAATGACGTCTTTAGGAAATTACCCTTAATATAACTATAATATAACACCATTTATGAAATGATTCGTGCAACACAAAAATAAAATATTGCCTTCTAATAATAATAATTTTTATAAAGAATTAGTTGTAGTATTATTATTATTATTATAGTAAGTGTCGTTTGTGACAATAATTAACGAATTGTATGTGCAATTCAATAGGTAGCATGTGCAGATGTTTAGTACCGATGAGATTAAACACCACCAAAGTTCGTCACCACAGGATTGAGGACAGACCATCTAGTCAAGCAGCAACTGGCGGCGCCGGCGGTGGTAATGGTGGTGGTGGCGGCGGCGGTGGAAGAGGAGAAGTTGAGATATGCAAAAATCCTTCAAAGTGTAACACTCTGACGGATTCGGATTCATCCGTGACTCAACCAAAAACACCCAATAGTAGCAGAAGCCCGACACCGGCTTCTGCGTAGCAATGCTTTGACAAATTGGTATAGAAAAGTTTTCTTTTTTTTTATAGCCAAGAGCAGTGGCGGATGTAAGAAAAAATTTTATTGAGGCGCTTTGGAGAGCAGTATTAGGTCCGAAGCATCGTCGTTGAATCTTTTCTAAATGTAATATTAAATGACCAAACAAAAAGTAATTCATTTAATCTCATTCAATTTATTAAGTTATTATAATTGAAGTCTCAATTTATTTTTAAATAGTTGGTCCAGCCTGTCGGTTTGGTTCATTAGTGATTTTTTATAATTTAAATTTATATGGTATTGGCATAGGTTATTTTACAACTGATGCAATTGCATCACTAGCATTTCCATCGTTACAAAACTGATGCAAAAAAGCCCAAAATAAGCGTTGCTAAAGTTCATTCTTGTAGTAGTGTTTTGTGAAAAAATCCGTTATAAAGACACCATCAACAAGATACCAAATAGAAAAGCCCTTTGTGAAAAGTCCCGCTACAACAAGGTCATCAGTGATGAAAATTATGATCGCATTGATCAGAGGTGCTCCAAATGGGGAATGCCATACGTTGACACCGGATGCTAGTGTTAGCAGTAGGGGTGAACCAGTACCGAACCGATACAAAAAAAAATTTTGGAAAACAAAAAATGTCGCTAAATTTGATTTGGTATTTGGGAATGGTACGAGGTTACTTCTCATACTGAATATATATATATATATATATATATATATATATATATATATATATATATATATATATACTGATATATTATAAATATAATAATCTTTTATATTGTTTCTTAAAAAAATGAGTTCATTTTTGAAATTTGGTTCAAATTTTATTATGTGTATATTGTACTTTTTTTTTAGTTTCAACTTTTTGCAAATGAATTTAAAAAAATTAACACACATTTGAACTATCATGTTGTTGTCGTCTGTTCACTTTAATACGTGAAATATAAATTAAACTCATAAGCATTTCTTATATTTAATTTTTCATTTTTTATGTTTTTTTATTTAAATACACTATTAATTTTTCAAAAGCAAATGGTTTTGTGATACTTTAAAATTTAAATTAAACGCATATGCATTCATCATGATTTGTACCAAAATCGAAACCAAATCATCCCCAATGTACTGAACCAAAATTTCGAAATCAAGATTGGTACAATGTAAAATCTCAAACCGAAATGAAATATTTGATACGATATCGGTACGAGCTAAATACTATACCATACCGTGCCATACTCATCCCTCATCAACGAAATCATGCAAATAACAATAACAACAACAACAATAATAATAATAATAATAACAATAATAATAATAAAACTCTATAATTAAACTACGTAGTACTCTATCCTCTATACATATATATATATATATATATATATATATATATATATATATATATATATATATATATATATATATATATATATATACTATCCACAACTTATATAGACACACACACACACACAAATTATTTTTATACTATCCACAACTTATTTTAGTTTATTACTTCTCAAAAAATGATTGTATAAATTTAATCACATGTGTATATTTATTAATTAAATACTTTGTTTTAAAAATTTTATCTTACTACATTATTTATTTTATTGCTACATATATTTTTTAACAAAGTGAATAAAATAAAGTTAGTTTAATTAAAGGGTGACAACTGAGAAGTGACATTATGACACATATACATTATCTAATGATGTATTATTATGCATGTAACTAATCCACATTTTATTAAAATATTTTATTAATTCAAACCATTTCTATTACGGAGTAGTACTCAATTCAATGACATTTAATTTTGTATAACTTTTTTGTTTTTAAATTAATATACCAATATATATTCCATCACTCTAAAACATATTTTGTCACTATTAAACTAATACAACTAAAATTATATTTATAGAATCTCAAAAAGTTTAGAATATATACGAGCCCGTGCGAAGCACGAGATAAACACTAGTACTCCATATTTGGAAACAATGATAATTATCCTTTTCTTGGAGCACACACATTCCTTATTTTCAATTTTCAAACTCAACCGTCTACTCATTCTCTCTCATCAATATCATCTCCTTATCATCCATACGGAGTATTATTTTAAATAATTTATACTCCGTATTATATTATAGTAATATAATATTATTTTTTATCATAATTTTAAATACATGAATAAAAAGTTTACAAAAATGTTAAATTAAATATTTAAACATTCATATGATTTATATTTAGAAGAATCAAATTAGAGAAGATATATAATTACAACAATTAAAATATGAAATCAAAGAAATGAATGGGTGCGCGCTGGAAACATAAAAGTAAAGTGTTTTTTATGAGCTTCCCCAGTTCCCATTTCATTATTAAAAAAAGAAGAAAAAAAAGGAAAAAATAAGATGTTGAATCAAAAAAACAAAAAGACTGAAAAAGACAACCATTGTTGGATATTATAAGGGTGGGTGGACCAATTTTCAAGTTGGATAATGTTTAAGAGGCCTTGCTTGGAAACATCGTTTTCGATTAAATAAAATTTTAATGATGCAGATTAATTCTAAAAACGCTAATGCTGAAGGCTATCGTTGGATAGCCTTTTCAAAACGCTAACGCAATTTCTAACGTTAATGTCAAACGATGCCTAAATATTTAAACAAATTGCTCTCCATCCAACACACTATACATAATTGTTACACACACCTAAGAATCCATTCATATTATTAAATGTTCTCTCCCTCCCCACAAATATTCCCATTACTCTTTTTTATTTGTTTCCAATAAATCTTTTCATTACCTTTTTTAACATTTAAAATACTACAACTAACCCCACTTACTTTATTTAGTGTACCTCGCCCACCTCATTTAATACACTCCATCCATTTTCATTAAGACATTTTGGTAAACTTTTAATTTATTCCAATTTTTCCTTAAAAACTACAAAAAGTCAAAACGAGAAGATCTTAACGACACAGAGGGAGTATTAATCAAATGGCACCAATGGAGGTGGTCTTAACCATTTGAACAAAATCATCTAAAATCACCGGCCACGCATCCTCTTCCCCATAGTTGCTACAGTCTGGAAAGCTAATCTGTTCATCCCCCAAAAAAAAAAAAACAGTATAACATAAATTACAGATTTTTATGGGACAGGAATAAATAGGAAAACATTGCTGAGAATAATGAAGTGTGACTATTGTACAATATTTATTAAGAGGTTCATTAATTCAGATTCCAGAAGTTCAAGAAGAATTAGAAAGTGAATCATATATCTTTACCTCTTGGCAAAACCTATAAACTCCAAGCCACTGATCCATGTTTAAAGCCTTGTACTCTGTTTGAGACTGCAAAAAAGTAACTCTTTATGTAACATATAGAGTACAATGTACAAAGCAAAGAGTACAACAACAACAACAACAACAACAACAAAGCATTATCCCACTAAGTGGGGTCAGGTCGACTACATGGATCAAACGACGTCATTGTGCCCTATAATGTACAGACTACAGAGCAAAGGGTAATCAAGAAAAATAAGCTACTCCTTCCATCTCAGATGAACCTCCCCATTTGACTTTACAAAGTTTAAGAAAGTGATTTAAAAGTGAAAAGCGTGTGAATATAATTTCTTTAGAGGTTTGAAAAGACACTGTAAAGAAGTTGAAGAATGTTTATTTCGGGATGAGCAGAAAAAGAAAAGTGAGAATTTTGTTTGAGGGTGGAGGGAGTATTACAAAGTATATCCCAAAATAGTCATGAAGAGCAAAATACTCACTCCCATAATTATCTCCATCCTTTTCTATTTGGATTATCCCTAAATTCTCTTCCACTTACTTTTGATGAGGTCACAACCACACAAGTTATACTTTACAAAGAAGCATGCTAATTTCATATAAGAAGATTATTATGGGATGAAGGGAGTATTTTGCAATTAAAAATGGGAAACAATGGTGCAAATGATTCTCCAAGAAGAATATAACTCACCATTAAATACTGAATAAGCTTTGCAATCTGTGATTGAAACTTGGAACCTAAAATATTCTCTAACAGGGTACAACAGGTCTCCTTATCTACCGACTTTTCTGAAAACTCTGCAAAAAACCACAACACGACGTCCCAAAAAACATTACCTATAATGAGTATATTGAGAGTTGGGCCAATGTACCCAACACATTTAGCTATTTTACTGTAATTAGGCCCAAGATGTAAAGCCCGAACCACTTTCAGTAAACACGTGTGAAACGAGTAGGCGCAGCCCGGCCCAAAAGTGAGGCTAGTCCATCTGAAAGGGGATTAGGGTCATGACAACCCGAAAGTGAGGCCCAACCTTGTGGGGTGCATTTCGTGGTTGCAGTTAGGTCAGAGAGACTGGGGGGGAATGTATGGTTGAAATTTGTTTAGATAAGAGAGAAATACTGTGAGCCGCAAATCTATTATCTTAAAAAATGTAAAATAAGTGGAAGTACTCTTCGACACGTCCAGAAAAAGAAATTGATAAGTGTTTTTTGGGACAGAGTGAGTACCTGTTAGGTTATACTTAAACGCATAGGTATAGAAGTCTAATAACATTGTTGAGTAATGTTTCACCTGTGAAAACAAAATTTAAAAATGTCTTTTAGACAAACAATTCTAGGTCCCGTTTTGCTGGACAAATCCGAAAGAAAAGAAAAAGAATGCATACCTCATCCACAAGTTTTGTAATTGTTTGCTTTAATCTTTCTATTGTATCAACATTTAGATCTTTGATGCCTTTTCTCCACTCCTCCTAATGAATGACAACATGACTCTTATTACTTAACAATCACTAATTACTATTCTCTACACTTAAAGGTCCTGTTTGGTTCATGCTTTCAAACCCATTCTTGATTCAAAACACATATCAGAAAGTGAACCAAACAAGACCCTAAAGTTTTCTATCACTAAAGAGGTTCTTAGGACAACTGAAGTTAGTTGATTCATGCTTACCAGAGTAAAGAAACCTTGTTTTTTTGCTTGCATTTTCCTGAAAATTCAAGGCATTGTTTTAAAATCAGATAACATATGTAGTACAAAAAGAAAAGAATGGTGACAAGCTAGCATGAATCAATATGAGGTCTTATTGATTGTGAGGTGTACAACTAGTATTTATAGGAAAATATAGAGAATAAATTACGGAACAACCCAGAACTTTAAATATTTACGAGTACGCCTATTTTATAATCTAACATGAAGTCAAAGTAGAAGAGTGAATTACCAAGCAAGGAGTAATATCCTGACATCAGTGTAGTCAATTCCCAAGTCAGAGCACAGATGGAGAACACCATCAGGCCTATTCAATGACAACATCAGTAATATTTCCGAACACAAAAAGCTCGGCATTATTTCATGACGAAGATATTTGGATTTCGGCTCCACGATTATTAGCTAATCTATATTTGTTCCCCGGCATTTTCACTTTTTACGATTTTCAGTGCACGACTATGGATTATTAGTCACTTTTTATCCTTCCAAGCCACTCATCTAGCAAACACGACATGGAAAGTGACTAGATAAATGGTTAGAGGTAACAAAAGTGGCAAGACATCCATAGTCATGCACTAAAAGTGTAAAGAATGAGAGTCGGGACCAAATGTTTGAATGAACTACGGGACCTTTTGGGAGAATGGAAAATGACTTTTAGAACTCATTTTCTATTTTCTGGTGTTTGGTTGTTCAGTAAAATAGAAGTAAGCAAAAGTTGATTTTCAAAGTAAACAGAATATGAAACTTATTAAGAGGATTTTGTCTTCCTTTTTTTGGTGAAATGCATTTTTCACTCTTCCCCTACTAACGAAATCGAAACTTACCATACTTTATTATGTCAAGCAACAAGACTAGTTTTTTTCCCCAAATTTTCAACCGAACACCGGAAAATAAATTTCTTTTCCAAAAGTAATTTTTTAGAATATATTTTCCAGAAATCATTTTCCATCTTCTCAACCAGACCCCTAATGTAAAATATGAGAACTTACTCTATCAAACCAGAGGAAGTATCAGCATAAGTATAAAACCATTTATCAATTTCTTCAAACTCCTTATTTGCTGCTGCTTTACATGAAGCTGAACATAAATATATAAATATATATGGTGGATTGAATCAAATATTAGAACCAATTCAAAATTACATCCAAGTAAAGCAAAAGATCAACTGATCAAGATTGCAACTTAAAGTAAGAAAATAAATAACTGAAATTGGACCTCCTACTAACAATCAAATAAAAAAAATCCCCTTCCTACGTGAAGCATTCGTCCAGTTTGACTTTGAACTTCAATCATCAATCACATTTAAATTTGTGTTACATGTCAATGCAATGAAATAAATTTCTGGAAATTTTCAAAAACACAAATCTAAAGAAATTATTTTTGTAATAAATTTTATTGAATTCAGAATCAAAATTTATCCAATTTGACTTGAAAACCAATACTTTGGAACATAGGCAGTAAAAGAACAATAATTCACCATACATTAACATAAAGACGTAAAGGATCTCGAGGCTTACCGGAGAAATCCGCCGCAGCCGTCGGAGGTTTAGTCTCCTCCCAACGGGAAGATCGTTTCCGGCGTGGCATTATGGAGGATAAATATGCTTATTAATTACAGTAAAGAATGCAGATGAGCAAATTCTTAAGCACAAATATTACTGTAGGTACTCTTTACTCCGTATAATTATTGGAGAAGAGCTTTCCTATTGCCATTAGGATTTGACGAGGAAATTCTTGTTTTTTTCTTTTCTTTTTTTCCTTTTTCTTTGAGTGGTGTTTTTCTGCTTTCTATATTTGGAATGAGATTCTCTATTCAGTTAAGTTTCTTTATTTTAGTTTTGGACTGATTTTGGATTCTAGGAAGAGGTTCAATAGTTCTGATTCGAATGGAATAAGTACTAATATGATCTGATCTGGTATAATCTAATATGAATGTAGTTGTCTGATCTCGTTCCAATAAAAATAAGTAATAAGTACGGAGTAAAACATAAGTTGAGCAGAACATGGCTAAAATTGGGGGTTTATATTTGATTGGTTTGATCTGAATTTAATTAAGGTTGAATGCCCCCTCACCCTTTGCCCGACAGAATGGTAACGAGGGTAAATCCTAATACAATTTTAATTTGAACTTTAGAGAGGTCGTCCCGTGTTCGATGTGCACAAAACGTTATTACAAAGAATATGATCCTCACATTGCCACACCGAGATTTGATCTATTAAAGAGATCGCGCTATTGTGGTCCTAAAGATTTGATTCCTAAGTCTGATTGACGCTCTTGAGCCCGTTCCGAAGATTGCTCTGCTCCCAAGTCCCACCTATCGGTTCACTGGATGGTTTCTGGACTAGATCGAAATGTGTTTTTTCTTTTGCTTCACACAAAGTATTTTATTTCATTTTTATTTTTTTTTAAATTTTTTGGTAACGTTCACCAAAATTTTATTTTGTTTTTAAAAATAAATAAATGAAAAATTTTCATTTGAGATGAAAAGTGTATATATATTATTTTATTTATTCGTACAAATAAGAAAAGTTAATAGAGGAAGAAGGATATAAATGTAATTTTATGTTTGAAAATAGGTTAGGTGGCATGTGCGCACCACATAGAAACCACAGTAATTTTAAATAAGTTTAGTAAACAATAAGGGTTGGGTGCTCTTTTTGTAAACTATGAGGGGCATCCATGTTATTAGCTCAGCTTTCTTATGGCAAATCATTTACATAATTAATGAATAAAAACATAAATAAAGAGGAAAGAGATGAAAAGTGTTTACTACTAATGCAAAAAAGGGATAAGAGACATTAGATTAATCAATGTATTGAACCAGAGCATATCAATAATACTCCGTATTATATGATCAAAATTACACATTTAATTCAAACTTGCAAAGCATGTATACAAGGCACAAGTTTCAATTTCAAAAATGAAAAAAAATATATGAGAAGAAATAAATAGGAAAGAGATGAGAAATGAACCTAGGAAACAAGTTCTGAAAGGTAAGAAGTAAAACATGAAACAGCATCCTGCAGATGGTAGTTTTGAAGGTCTTGAGAGATGGGGGCCTTAAACACTGTATCATGATAACAACACAGTTGTGCCTCACTTGTTGAACCTTCATCTTCTTCTTCACTGCTTCCTAGAAGAAGGTTGCATATTTCCTCTCCCATCTTTGAATATACAACCCTGCATTTGACAAATATATACACACATACATATATATATTAGCTAGGGTTGTAGACTACATGTAGAGGAGGGGTATGCGTGCGAGTGCCGTTAATGTGTGTTCACTCTAGGGATGGCCCATCTCATCTCATCCTTACATGCTGGATATCCAAACCGCCCAACCCAATTAAAAAGATGAAAACCCGAAGAGGTGTGGGTGGATATTAATCTCACGCGTTGCCCGACCAATTCACCCGTCAATCCGTATATTTTTGTTAAATTTTTAACTCTTATACCAATATAAGCTATACAATAGAAATTATCTTTTAAGCTATCAGGCGACTATCAGCTACCTCATCCACTTTTTTCCTTATTTTATATAATCAGAGCTCTTTTTTTTCCTCAAATAGATGATGTTAGCAAACGTTTTTTATGTCAATAAAAACAACAATAACCCCGATGAATCCCACAAAAGTAAGGTATGGGGAGGGTGTGTGTATGTTTTCATGTCACATAAATTTAAAAACCATATTGAAAAGGAACACCGAGTATCAAAGTCGATGTCCTACAGCAAATAAAATAGGCAACATACCTTGCATCAACGGGTAATTTGCTATTCCAAAGAGCCAGAGACTCATTTAAGTGACTAATAAAGTCTGCGCATGCATTGTTTTTATTCTGTAGAGAGTCCTGCCAGCAAAAAAAGTGTCAGTCAGCTGATTGTCGAGATGCAACTTCAACTGGAAGGATGGGATTAATGAGAATATGGGAAAGCACATGACAAACAAGATGGCAATCAATAAATAGGTAAGATGGAACTTTAGACAACTATGTTCCCATATACTCAGTCATTATGTAAAAAAATACATTACATTTGTTTCATTTCCATCTAGGAAAACATTTATCACTATTTAGGTAAAGGTAAATTGCTTTATACGTGCAACTATACTGCCATCTGTTTAAAGAATGCATCTCATAGAGGTACATTCCGGAGCAGTGTTTTTTAAAGGGGGGGTGGGGGGTAGATAGGGAAAAAGGGAGTTGTTCTTTATAATTTATTTTATTTCACGTAATTATATGTGGTTTATCATTATTATTATTATTATTTATTATTATAAACAAGTCATTATAACTATAGGGTAATGCTAATTTATTGTTTTATCTTGTATATTACAAATAATCCCATTAAAGCATAACTTCCCTAAAAACATAACCTAACAACATAAATTGACTTTGATACGAGTCCAAAAGATAACATCATATTGTCATTGATATGAGTCCAAAAGATACAACACGTATAAGCATAACCAGTCCTTCAAGTAATGGAACATTTCCACAGTTTTTGCATGCCTTACTATAATTCTATTGCCACTTCCCAATTTCGGTAGGCACATCGTATATACTCATAATCCCTCTGTCTCAAAGAGTTGCCTATTCCATCTTGGGGTGTCCCGCATAGCCAAGTTATGTTGTGTGCATTTTATTTTCCATTTACCAGTTTACCACTACTTAATCATCCACATTAAGGGGCCATTCAGTTGAACTTGACTTCAGCATTGTTCAGTTCAGTACCATTTAGTTCGGTACTACTTAGTTCAAAATTTCACTACAATCAATTCAGATCAGTATCATTCTTTAGTACCATTCGGTTCAGTTTTATTCAACTCCAATGGTCGGACCCTATGTACCACTCCTACATAGGAAACGGTTAGTTTGCAATTGATCAAAATGAGAATTGCGTATAAATACTCCAACAAACTTAACAATCATTTATGAATTTGTGGGTAAGTGTAAAAAAAGATAGTGCACTATCTTTGTGGCATGAAGTGACTATTTGCTAAGGGCTTTTAATTTTGAAAAGACGCATAATCCACATACCTTTTCATTCATTGTGTCATTTTCTTCATTCAATGAACTCCTTAACAAATAGAAGGATAGATATATCCCAGCTCCTAAGTCCCAATCTTCAATTTCGGCCTTGTGACTCTCCATGGAGGTCGCAAGTGTAAATATCTCAAGGTGCTCCCCTAAAAGGGACCAAATTCAAGCAAAAGAGAGGTTAACAACAATATATGCTCATAGCTTATCTTTAAAAGTGAAAGGTGTAATAAATAAAAAGAATGTTACTCCGTAGATAATTAATTGCCAATTTATCAAAAAGCATGAAAGTAAATACTACATAATAAAATAAGCCTACCGGATAAAAATAGAGAGTGCGCAACAGAAGTCATAAAAATGGTATGTGACTTCTGCCAGTATCCACCAGACTTGAGAAAGTGCTCAAGAGCTTTTGAACAGTCACCATGGTAATTGTAATACATTGCCTGCATTTGAAAATAAAAATCATAACCAGATTAAATTCCATGACATCTGATTTTGTATAAAAACCAATTTAAACATGATAGCGCAATGGCAAACTAAACTGTAAAGCACAATGACATTGCATCTCTTATAACAAATAGGGGTAAAGCCATTGCAGGAATTAAGTAAAACAAATATTCCCTCCATCCCAAACAAAAAGCTCCTGTTTGGAAACTTATTTCTGTCCTGAAATGAGTTGTGTTTGACCGACGAAGCTAGTTTTAATTATAATTGTTTTTTCACTATAAAAGTAAACCAAACTAGAAGTATGTCAAATATAGTAAAACCAATGAATACATTTAAAATTAAAACCATGGTGAAGGAATGCAGATCAGTGAGAAAAAGTGCAAGTTCAATTTTACTCACCAGTGCCTCATGTAACCATGGTGAAGGAATACCCAAACCCTCGATAAACTTTCGTTGTGAATCTTGAGAACTCCAAGTTTCACAATATTGAAAAAGGATTTCCCTGATCACGGTGGCATGCATACATGGGCAATCTTCACGATAAGGCATGTGGAGCACCACGTAGATGGCCCAATGGCATTGCCCAAGACAAAGCAGTTGGGTAACAAGTCCCATGTCTAAGACATGAAGATCATTAGAGCTGAAAGCCCCAACAGCTTCTAGAACAGCCCGTTGATGCCAAATCATATGGTAGTCAAGTGGATCATTTGTTGATGCAAAGGCGCTAAACATAGGCTTCAAAAGACCACAATCAGTTTCTTGATTGGCATGAAGCAACATGAGATAATATGACAAGTCATACTTTTCCTCTTTATGTGGATTCAGACACTCTGCATCCAGTCCTTCATCAATGTAAATGGGCACTGGAGACGGAGCTTTCCCTTCATTCAGAAGTTGTTGATAAGAACGGAAAACAAGAGGTAATGAAGTATCAGGTGAAAGGTGATACCACATCAAAAGTCCCAAAAATCTTTTCCAGTCTATATTTACATCCTGTAATGCCATATGGATGTCACCAGCAAGCAACTGGAGAAGTCTAACTCTTTCTGTCTCAATAAAGCTAAAGTCCAATCCATTTACTCTCCAAATCTCAAACTGCTTATCAATATCAACGCGGTTGTCAGTAAATCCACCAGCCTGACTCAAAAGACATGCCAGCCGGACATCTCCTCTAGAAGCAGCAAGTTCCACGGCACCATCCAGCTGTCGCCCTGTCAGCAGTAAGAATATGTGTTGTAGCTCACTGGACTCATCCAAAGAGCTCACTTCCTCCTGTACCCGATGACAGACACTCTCCTGCAACCAATAACTAAATTCTGCCCTTCTTATGAGAGGAAGTGCCTCTGTGTCTACATCTGGTGTACTTTCTTTCCCTTCAAACATCATTTCTTCCTCACTGTCATCGACTTCCAGAGATTTTGGTTTCTCGTTCACATGTCTAGAGGAAAAGAGAACTTTGATCAGTTCCCAGACCATTGCTTGGTGCATCAATACAATAGGAGAAGAGGATGACAACCCAGGAACCTCCAATTGCTTCTCAACAATCTCAATATAGCTTCTGCAAATCTCTGGAAGGATGAAACGATCACATACGAGTTTTTGAAGCTTTAAACTGCAACTGCCCACCTCAATCTCTTGTGTTTCATGCTTTATTTCCTTGTGAAGAGCCAGCGGGGAAGCGAAGCAAAAATCAACAAGTTCATCCCTAACTTTGTGATTCGTGTCTTTTGCCACTTTACCAATAGAAACTTTTTCTAAGTTGATTATGGAGGATATTGTGGACTCACTAGCTCCAACGGGTGCACCAGAATGAACAAGGATCCCATTAGGCCCCCACCCTGCTCGAAACGATCTACCCATGAACAATGCAGCATCTACCACGTTGCTGGAATGACTTCCCATTACAGGAGTTTGCTGCTTGGCATCCAGCTTAAACCCTTCAGAATTTGTTGTCCTTAGGAGCACACCTTTGTTTTGTTGTGTCATTAAAATAGAGCCCGGTGAGCTTGAGCCAAAACTACTAGCATTGTATTCAATAAGAGCTAAAGGAGTCTTGCGAATCAAATGCGGGTTACTTTTCTGGAATATGGGCGACTTTGATGATTCTCTGTTGAGACGTGATCGTCTATGCAAAGGAAGACCACTATAATCACCTAAATCCTCTTCTTCAGATGGAAACATCAACATTCTCATTTCGTTCATCTTCACAGGATCAAGCCCCAGATGAGCAGGAAGAGAATGAGAGAGGAGTGTAGGATCAGTCAAAGACATTTCTTCAGCTATATCAGAATCTTCGCCCTTGTTCATGTCCAGTGGAGCTAGAACTTCTGGTGAAACATCATTCATAGTGATATCTTCTTCTTCATCTTCTTCACTAAAACCAAATCTGCTAAAATGTTGAACCAAGAATTTCCATTCACCAATTTCTCTGTCAAACGAAATGAAGTGCGCTCCCTGGCACTTTGTTTTCATCTTTAAAGTCTCTACGAGTTTTCTTGATGAATCTTCAGTGTCTTGGTACAAGTGCTTTAGTTTCAATAAAAGGGTCACTTCAGCAGGCTTATTAAGCCCCACACCAACTGCAGGCTTCGATGTTTCATCTTCATATACAACAACTTCATGTCTTCTAACCTTGACTATGCTTTCAAGATCCAACCCTCTAATGTCAGTTTCCCCAATAAATCTGATGCTTCCGAAACCAATCCTTCCCACAGTAAAATCAACAACTCTACTGCAATAACCAGGACTCTTTGACTCCCGGGCAGCCAATTCGCTCAAATGGGGCACAGTAAAATAATCTGCAGACCTTAGAGTGGGTAAAGAAGACTCACAATCAACTAAACCCCGGCCCAGAATCACCCCATTGAGAGAAACCTTTCTTCTTTTGCATCCAAATTGGGATAAGGGAGTAAGGTCAATAACATCCAAACCCACTTCCATTCTCGAATCCCTGAACAAAAATACACGAACAGGAGTGGAACCTTAAGTGCGTGAAGAACACAAATTTGTTGCAGAAATGGTGAAAATACAGAATGGAGCTCTCTTCGCAATTTAGGGTGACCTAAAACCCTAATTGTGAGATCTGAACAGAAAACCCCTAGAAAACCTTGAAGAATTGCATTCAGTGGGAGATTGTTGGATAAAAACTTACCTTTTTCGGAATTGAAAGATTGTTTAAATCTCTGCTCTGAAGCTCTGGAGCTTCTCGCTTCAACTGTAGCCCTTCTCCTTCAACCCCTTCTCATTTTTCTTTTTTTTTTCTTCACCAGGCGGGCAGGAGATAGTTTTGGGCTGGGCAATATGTGGAGTAATTTTGTTACAGTAAGAGAAAGTCAAACGAGCCAAAGAAAGTCAAAGTAACTAAATACACTTAATTTTATCCTTAAATTAGTCTATATTGCCTTTCTTATTTTTACATTTTAAAAAGCATAGATTTGTTCATTCCGGCCGATTCATGAGAAATTGATATTCAATGTTCGAACATGTTTCGAACACTTATACTCCCTCCGTCCGGAAATATTCTTCTCATTTTCCTTTTTGGTCCGTTCGGAAATATTCTTCCCAATTTCTTTTTTAGTATACTTCTTAAGGATAATTTCAATAATACCCTTCTATTTTATTAATAATCTACTTTTTTAATAAGAAAAGAAGATTTAAAAGTTTATAGTATGTGTATTTTTGAAAATTTTGCATTTTTTCTACTATTTCTTAATAAGCATGTCAAGTCAACACGGGAAGAATATTTTCGGACGGAGGAAGTAATATTTTATTCAAAAAATTGATAATTCTTATATTCAAATCGTCTTTCATTAATGCCCTTTGTTCCCTTCGCCGATTGGCTACTGTAGTATTAAGGCGAATTTAAAGCACTTATGGTGTTTTGTTTGACTTCAGATTTTAAAATTATCTCTAGCCATTGATCTCTAAGATCTCATTCTCTTAATCTTATTCTTCTACTACTACCTTCGGCTCTGAGTATTTATCCATTTTTGAGTTTTTCTGGTCAATTATTTTCAACCTTTGACCTATAATACTCAGGAACAGAGGGAGTAGTTATTTTTTTCTTATTAGCATCAAAATTAAATCAAAGCAAATGAAATTAGATTGATTCAGATCAGATAAAAGTACTAACTTTAACGTTAAGTAGAATTAGACCAGACCAAGAAGGTTCATTAAAAAAGATTCTAATTAGATCAAATTAGATTTGACTTTAATAAATTCTGATCAAAATCAATAAGTTTAGAGAAAGAGAACGGTAAAAAGATGCAAGTGAGAATAAACATTGAAAATATATCAAAATAAGAGTTTCATGTTTTTATTCTCAAAATAGGAGTTGAAAAGCATTTACAGTATCAATCATGACCATGTGGCATGTACATTACCAAAAAGTGTTGTAAAATGTTAATATACAATTCAATATTACAACATTGTGAACCCCTAATTCAAGAATAAAAACATGAATTTCTTTTTTGGTACTTTAACTATGTTCTACTCATATTTAGAGTATTTTTTTTAAATTTATTTCAAATAGATAAAAAATTGTCAAAATTATTACCAATTTTATTTTAGTGAAATTTATTGTTCGATTTAGTAATTTTTATGCAAAAATGGCATAATTTTGTCCCAAAATAAAATACACACCTCAAAATTTCTTCAAAATAAAAAGTGACATAACTATATTATTTGATAAAATTATATTTAAAAATTTGCAAAGGAAAAAAACTTATTTTATCATGTGAATAGTTACTGTTCATTCTTCTACCTCTTGGATCCAATTTCAAAAATTCCATTTTTAATTACCAAATTTCAACTAAACTATGTAGAAATATCTTCAAGGTTAATAGATCATTTTGGTATCATTAATTCATGATTTCAACATCAAATTCAGGCTTTGTGATTCTTAGTTCTTCAAGCATGTCAAACACAAAACTCAACCAAATGACCATTTATAAACATAGAAACGACCTATATTAACATTCTAGTCATTAGATATATCTACGGGCTTACCTCAAAGCTTAACGAAGGTTTTGAGAATTTTCTGGTAAAACTTCCGCCAAGGTTTGTGACTAGCTTCGGCGGCTTCACACCAAAATGATAGAACCTGCAGAACACTCCTCACACTCTCGGGAACACTTAGGAAGAAAAATGAAGAAGAATGGTGAAGAAATGAAAGAATTGAGTTCTTTATATAGGAGAAGAGAAGAGGAAGAAGACATTGCTGAGCTATTGCTGCGTAGGATTCCCAATTGAACGATCTGCGTTTGGTGATAGTCCGATATTATACGCGATTCCCTGATTGGGATTAATTTTGGTCTCAGTCGGGGTACACTTTTTGGTCCAACTTTCACTAGATTAAAATCCATTTGCACCGTTGCAATCGGACAGTTAAACTCTATCCATTTGGGTCTGTACTCTTGTTCCCAATCAATGTAACACAATAAATCAACATATTGGATTTATCTCTATGAGATTTATCTAGATTGTGATATTGAATATCAAAACATATTTTATTTCGGCCCAAAGCACAACAACCATTTATTTTAATAAAAATAAATTTTGATTGATTGAATAATTATTCATTATTAGTTGTAGGGTATGTTTTGGGGCATTGCACGCTATTTTTCATTTGATTTTCTTATCAATTGTAGCATTTCAAGGGAAGCAAGGGTGCTTCACCAAACATACGATGTTTGGAAAGTATTTCATGTCAACATGTTCCAATGGACAAATCTTAAAGACTAATTGTGTTTTCTAGAAGCATTCTATGGAAGCGTCCCGTTGAAGATGATGTAAAATAATATTTTTTTATCTGATTTGAATAATTCTGATTTGATTGAAATATTTTATGGAGATGGTGTAAAATAATGTCCCATTGGGGATGGTGTAAAATAATGTTTTCAAGAACCATTCTATGGAAGCGTCCCGCATGGGCAGCTCAGCTGATCGAGAACATGAAATCTTGGACCGATGACCAGAGATCGAGTAACGCAAGCGGCAGTGTAGGAGCTATCCAAAAATTCCATAAAGAGTGAGGAGGCTCCTTGTGCGCAGTGGGCACGGATCTAGCGTTCTTGGCCGACTAAGTCACCATGACTTACCTCCTCCACCATGATTTAGCGTTTTGGACTGAAGAAAAATAATACTAGGGTAATTTACCTAAATAGGACTAAAACATAATGACTTTCTCAAAGTAAAACTATATGTTTTTATTTTCTAATGTAGGACCATTGGTCATTAGTCAACTAAACGTCTAGCATTACTTGGACATTATTTTTCTTCTCACTAGTCATTATTAAATCTTATTTAAAAAATAAAAAAGTTTAAGTCCTACATTAAGAAATGACTTATATTTAGTCCTATTTAGTACAAATTTCACAAAATATTAAGGAGCAATGAAAAATGAGAATAAGTGAGGGACAACATGACCTAGGAATGGAGCTAGGGAGGAGTCTAGAATTTTGATAGTTTTGCATGGCATTGATGGGAGAGTGGAATACTATGATACTTGTCCAAGCCAAGCTGTGCTAAGGTCAGCTGTGCCCTGCCACTGCCACTGCCCACTGCAAGAACAATTCACACACATTTCAATTCAATTCCCCATTCAATTCTCTTCTTCTTCATGTTCCAATCTTCTTCTCGATCTCAGTGCCCGCCATTATTACTCCCTTCCATCTTCTTCTTCTTCTTCTTCTTCTTCTTTACAATCCTCTCATCTTTTTCTTATTTCTTCCTTCCATCCAATAATTTGGCAAGAAATTGAATTATTTCTTTCAATATTCATAATATTTAGCTAGAGATGATGTTGAAGAAGAAGACGAAGAAAGTTGTTTCTTTGGTGTTGATGATGGCGACTTTGCTCGTTTCTGAAATGGTATTCGCTGAGGGTGTAGTGCCTGCCGGAGAAGAAAAGATCGGGAGCCGGAAGAGGAGCAGCCGCCGTGGCGGTGGCGGTTGTGATCCTCTGTATTTGTATCTCTTTGGGAGCTGTGGGCTGTGGCCTTTTCGTCCTTATTCGCCTGATAATCCCTTTGTTTGCCCCTTGCCGTCTCCGCGCCCTCCCCGGCCACCGGTTC